TATAGTGGATGTTTGTAACCGTAAGACAGTGAAAGATTGTAACCATATTATAGTGGATGTTTGTAACCGTAAGACAGTGAAAGATTGTAACCATAATATAGTGGATGTTTGTAACCGTAAGACAGTGAAAGATTGTAACCATATTATAGTGGATGTTTGTAACCGTAAGACAGTGAAAGATTGTAACCATAATATAGTGGATGTTGTAACCGTAAGACAGCGGAAGATTGTAACCATAATATAGTGGATGTTTGTAACCGTAAGACAGTGGAAGATTGTAACCATATTATAGTGGATGTTTGTAACCGTAAGACAGTGGAAGATTGTAACCATATTATAGTGGATGTTTGTAACCGTAAGACAGTGGAAGATTGTAACCATATTATAGTGGATGTTTGTAACCGTAAGACAGTGGAAGAGTGTAACCATAATATAGTGGATGTTTGTAACCGTAAGACAGTGGAAGATTGTAACCATATTATAGTGGATGTTTGTAACCGTAAGACAGTGGAAGATTGTAACCATAATATAGTGGATGTTTGTAACCGTAAGACAGTGGAAGATTGTAACCATATTTTAGCCGTCCCCTTTTCCTTCTCTTAAAGCAGCCATCATCCAAATCGATGAGTCGCTTCTGTCAGAAATGTGTCGATGTGTGGTGCTTTGTTCGTCGTGATGTTGCTGTTGTTTGACATACAGCCGAGGAAAATATGTGTACCATCTTCTGGTCTTGACACACTGGACCACTCTGTGTCTATTTTAACTGGTCTTATTGCCCCCATGTCTACCCATCTGTCTGGTGTAACGGTTGCCGTTTTAACCGTCCCCATTACTCTCATACCCACCCGATGGTCTAACGTAACTGTAACTGTTGTCTATTGTCTATTGTAACCGTCCCCATTACTCCCATGCCTTCCCATTTGTCTCGTGTAACCGTCCCCATTACTCCCATTCTTCCCATTTGTCCTCAGGTGTGTCTTGTTTTATGGCTGCCACGAGTTCGCGCCAAAATATGCAGACACTGACAGTGTAGAATGCCCACAATTCCTTACTAGAAGACAATTGTGTTGAGGCTCTCGTCTGCCATCAGTTTGGCAGATGTACCACTGGCTTCCAGACCCGTTGTTGTTTATAAAGCCAGCAGCCATCTTGTTTCTAGAAGTTTGCTTGTATTAGGCCTTCAGTGCTATAAATAGAACTTTTTTTTTTAAATAGTTGAGCGCATTTACTTCTGTCTCTTGATCTTCACTCCAAGAGTGGCCTCGCTTTTTCAGGACCACCGGAAGTCTTACACTCCATCTTCCCCTGATCGCTCTTCTGTTGTTATTATCTAAAGCTAATCTTAGCGCCCAAGAGTTTTTTCATTTCCTTAAAAAAAAAAAAAAGAAAAGAAATATGTCCGCCAGGCATTTCATCAGCTAAGATTGGGAAATGAACAAAATGTGTTCAGCGGAAACAAAATGTGATATTGACAAAGTAATATATCATTGGGAGAAGCCTGCCGATTGCTAAAGTAGTATATTTGCTGTCAAATCAATGGCATTGCTAGATCAAAATGGCTCGGACCTCATTATCACATTTGTTTGAACAAAATATTGATGCTATGCAAATCTTTAAATATTTCTCTCCAAAAATGTACCGAAATTAAAAACGTACTTTGTCTGTGCTCAGTGGGTATGAAAATATCTTCTCGCCTTTTAAATAATGATCAAGTAAAAGACCTACTAGGGGTTGCGGGGGGGGGGGGGCCCAAAAAGTACGCCACGCTATTTTTGACCATTTTACCCCCCCCCCCCCCCCGTCACAAACTGTCACAAATCTCGGAACACCCCCCACCCCCAAGTACGTCACACTTTCGAACAAAATTTCTTTTTAATTAACACCTAATTAAAATTTAATCTAAAACACAGTTCACTATTAAACTGTATTAAATATAAAATTTCCACTTAAAATGACTTTAATAGTAGAATAATTAAATGTCAACAATTGTCACAGTCAACACATTCAGGATATACGCATTTCATGCTATTTTGACCTAAAACTAATTCAAATGTTTCACAAAATTTTTGAAAATTATTTTCAAAGCTATTAAATTCTACTAAAAAAAAAATTAATTAGAAATAAAATGTTAAAAAAAATAAATGTGTGACGTCACACATGGCCTGAC